AATTTTTTCCACCATCAATAGGTTCGTGCAGTGATGTCGGACTTTTCTCAGGGGTCTCCTAGTGGCCGGGATGGAATGTGTCTGATGGACTTCATCATACGGACAAGTCTCACAACTGTCATCTTGAATTATTATTGAATCATCATGTCGTTGGAGAAAGTGTTGACGTCAGAAGCTATCACTAGTGTCCCTTCATTGGCGTCGAGATTAGGAGGATTTGCCATAGACCCTTCAGATCCATCCGGTGAAGTCGCGAAACAACAACCAATACCTGTTCCTACCACAACACCTCCCTCCCGTCCTCGACCAGAAACCAGCAATAATTTATTCGGCAAAGCTCTAGCTGGAGTCAAGTCTGACAGGGCTCCTGAACCAATCTCTACTGTACCAGCTCCTTTACCTCAACCTCCGGTAGAACCAAAGGGAGACAGAATGAGAAGCCAGCATGATGATGATGGTAGGTCATTCTTGTGCCTTGACCTCGTCATTCAACTCGCCATTGACTGTTCGATTCGTATAGTATCGAGAGTTTGTGCTCTCGCAAGGTGGACGAAAATCGACAGATTGACTGACGGATAGGTTGGGGCGGACCGCCTACAACTCAGCATTTCACAAATGGACAGACCAATGGCAATAATGGACATCTTCAACCACAAGACGGTCCCCAAGATGAACAGTCCGACGCTGGGATGTCCGCGGATACCGGTTTAATCAGTAACGATTTCCAAGTGGAGGTTAAGTTGGTGGATCAGCAGGCTGATCCGAACTCGCCTTTGTACTCTGTCAAGTCTTTTGAGGCGTTACCTCTGTGAGTCTGCGCTCATCTCATCTCCTCAACTGTATTCTCATTTCCAACATTACTCGCGTGAGTGACAAGTGCACTAACCACTAGGCACGAAGATTTGCTTAAGGGAATTTACGCTTGCGGCTTTAAGAAACCTTCCAAAATACAAGAAAAGGCTCTGCCTCTGCTGCTCAACAATCCGTAAGCTCGACTGAGATTTGTGGTCATTGAGTTGATCAAGAGCCCTCGTAATCTGATCGGTCAAAGTCAGTCAGGTACTGGGAAAACGGCAGCTTTTACTCTCAACATGTTATCCCGTGTGGATCCTTCGAATGCCACACCTCAAGTGAGTTTTCATTT